GAAATCAATCAGACAGGGCTTGAATGAATTTAGGATTTAGAAACAATGTGATTTAAGAATTCAAATTCAAGCTAATGAATTTTACTTTAATGAAATAGACGGATCCCTGCAGGCACAGGACGTCAACATGGCGTCATATTGATATTCTACCCCGATGTCGTGGAGACGTTGGATTTTGTTTGGAAATAAAAACTCCATTGCCGTGACAACCCAACACCAGGCCGATGACAATTTCCAACGTCCAACCTGAAAATCAACCAAATAACAACATCTAATCATGATACAACTTGACGTTGTGTGGACGTTACCACTATGACATCTATCAGATGTTGGATTTTGGTCACTTTCCAACACAACCTTGAATTAACCAAATATCAATGTAATTTGACGTCATTATTGGAAGTTAAAATAAATTTGTCCTTAGACGCTGGCTAGACATTGATTTTTGGATAACTGACGTCACGACCTAAATCTAACCTAATATTAATGTCTTATGATGTTGTGTGCCTGCTGGGATGTGGCAAAATGAATGACCTTTTTGGCCGTTATCAAATTTAGAATGTATTTCTCAGCCTGATTACAAAACAAAACCAATACAAGTAAATGCAATCTTTTCCCAACATCTTTTACAAATTGCAACTTAGAGGTCTTGTTTCCCTCTAGCATAAACCCTTCTAAAGCAAACACCCAAACAAACACATGGTGTCACATCATGTGGAAGGCACCAGTTAAAACCCTCATGGCAAGCATCACACATTTGGACTAACCAGTTTGAATGTGTTGAATGCTGTTATGCTGTAACATTATTATATGCATTAGCTTGATGGCTAGCATGAGACACTAACATTGATATTAGAACATCATGTAAACAAATCCAAATAGTTGATCACGTCTAATTTAACACATACAAGATTAGCATCTATATTGTACAATACTGATCCGACATCTTTTAAGTGCAATGTATTACTCATTTGATTTTTTGTTGTAAGGAATTATATCAGAGAACAGAACATGCAGCAATGATAATTAATGAGTTGCTTGCTAGATATCACACTGCAACTGCTACATTCAAATTTCTTCAGGATGTGCAATTTTTCATGGCTTCTACAACGGTTCAAAGAAAAAACATTAAAGATTTCTCAGGTATGATGCCACTGTCAGGTCCTGTGTCATTGTATGTATGTATATATATATATATATATATATATATATATATATATATATATATATATATATATATATATATATATATATATATATATATATATATATATATTTATTTATTTTATTTTATTTTATTTTATTTTTTGTGTAAATAAAAGTAATATGATGTAAATAAAAGTAATATGATTAGGGTATTATTAATGTTACTTCTTGAACATATGGTAATCGATCTGTGCAACAATCTGAACGTTATTTACAACTTTATTTCCTGTTATTCACACCCTATGCAAATTCTGTTCACTAAAGTAGTCATCATTGGCGGGCACACATGCATCTTCTCTGTAGTAAACAAACAGTGCGTCAGCTCATGTGTGATTCCACGGCCGCAAATATATCATTTTATAAAAAGAGAAATGACATTTGAGTGAATTATACCTTATAAATACAGTATGTGACACTTTTAACACCATTTGGAGGTGTCCATGTTGCTGCAACACATATTAAACAATGTGAAATCAACCCCCTTTCTTACCTGAACTTAAAAATATAATTGGCTGAATTGAAGAAAAACTGAATTAAGATTGTGTGTAGGGTTGAATTGAGATTGCAATCTTTTTTCTACTAATTGTGCAGCTTCAATATATTCTGCCTTTAAGTACATATGATTAAGAACAATTTAAATGATAGTTCACCTAAAATTAAATTTCTGTCACCATTTTCTCAGCCTTGACTTATTCCAAACTTTTTTTTTTCTGCTAAAAACAAAAGAAACTATTTTGAAGAATGCTGGAAACCTCCATGCATAATAGTAAAAACAAATACTGTTTAAGTCAATAGATAACTATTTTCAAAAATCTTTTTTAAATATATCATCTTTTGTGTTCAACAAAACCAAAAAAACACAAACTGGTTTGGAACAAGTTTAGGGTAAGTAAATGATGAGCATCAAATGATCACCACTTTGAGTGAGCTCTTCCTTTAGGCATATCTGACTTTAAGCATAGGTGTTGAGTGGTCAAGTTATTGTTTTTATTTGTCTTTCTCAGCATTACAATGTCTATATGAATATTGTACATATAACAAGCCACCTGCAGTCTGATTAAATTGTATGCATGTTGGACCACACCAAGCTACAGTTACATTGCCTCTCTCTGTGCAGATCCATGATCTCCAGCAGAAAATGCCAATATATGAATACATATCAAATTATAGCTAATTTATTTGAACATATATGTAAAAATTTGTAATTCCAATAGTTGCAATCCAATGGTTCCAATTAGAGATACTTCAATCGTTCGGCCGATAATCACATTTCATGGCTCGATCGGTACTCACCAGTTCAGCCGATTATATGAACCGATCGCAGGGGTTTGTTTATGAGTTTACAAGCAGAGGTAGACGCGTATGTACAGCAGCCACAACAGGAGGTGCATGATGTGTGGGGGCATGAGCCCTCGCGTTACAGCCGTTAAAGCATATGCAGTTGCGGTGCGACCTCTGTTCACAGTTCATTGTAAAGATGTATTAGAATTTCTAGGTGTGCATTTTAAATTGTTATGCATCAAATATGCGCTCCAAACTTTTTCTACATTGAGACATGTTGAATTCTTCTTTCATCATTTGCAATGTTTCCAAATTGCATTGTTTGTAAGTTTTCTTACCAATTGTTGTGGCGGTTCATGCCACTGTGGCGACCCCTGACAAATAATGAAATAAGCCGAAGTCAAATAAATGGATTAATTATTTTCTGTAAAGCTGCTTCAGGCCATGACATGTTCATACCTAAATGGTTATAAAAGACGTGTTTAAGGTATTATATGCAGTATCCTTAATTTATTCTCTTAGATAAAGTGAGATCTCCACTCCACTTTCATACTTAAGAGGGAAAATGTGCTTAAAGCATTATGAAGCTTGAAGCATTAGAATAGGTACTTACTATCGGCTGATCACCATGACAAGGAATCGGTACTCAATATCAGCAGCTAGTTCCAATCCTTTTTGCAATATTTTGAAATATATCTTGTATATACGTATAATATATACTTTATATGTGAAATCCAAATATGAACTTGTATGCCATTTATGTAATCTGCATATATTGCCATATATCTGATATTTATTTTGCTGTGCACATGTTCAGTGATCATGTTTAATACCTGGTAACTAAACAAAAGATGTGAATGTAATCACGTACACCAACATTCAAAGTTTTTGTTTGTTTGATTGATTGACAAAACAGATTTGACGCACTTTTGTTCATGTGTCTAGACCTGCAGTTACTCTTTAAGCACGAAACTTGGCAAGCATACCCTCCAAATGATGAAATAGATGCATCAAGGCAAGATGAATGTGGAGTGGTTTGTTTTACTGTTGTCTGAACACAAAGAGCTGTATGATAAACGTGAAAGCGACTACAAAATGTTAATACCAGGGAGTTGTATGGAGAGCAATTGCATATCAAATAGGATTCGTATCATTTTACTTAATTTTCTTTCATGGCTTGCAGGTTTTTTCCACAAACGTGATCTACAGTCATAGTGTGATTTTGCTCATCACCAGTGAAAATTGCTTGGGTGTGAATGCTGAAAAATGTCTTGAAAAACAAAAAGTGCAAGAAAAAAAAATTCTGTTGTGCACCAACCTTCACAAATTAATTTTAAGAGTTCACACTTAGCTGATGATTGATTATAAAGATTGTTTGGTATGCTGTCCCGGGGAGAGAGCCCTGAGCTCATAAGATCCTCGAGCCTGAAGCTCCCTCCCGTTGCAAGGCGGGAGCAAAGAGGGGAGTTTGAGCTCAGGTAGAACTCGAGAACTCACCTGCTATAGTAGCTGATAAACAGATAGTGATTGCTGTTAAGAGATAACTACTTACTAGGAGCATGTCTATAGTGCTGATTTGGATTAGTCATTTAACTTGAGTTGCATGTTTTTGGACGGTGGGAGGAAACCGGGGAACCCGAGGAAATCCATGTGAGCATAGGGAGAACGTGTAAACTCCGTAAGGAAACGTCGGCTGGCTTGGTAAGGACTAGAACCAGTTCTTGCTGTGAGGCAACTGTGCTAACCACTGGGCCACCGTGCCACCCATCTAGGAATAGAAGAAGGAGGAGTAGGGGTGGAAGGGGGGATTCTTCAAAACGAAGATGGCTGTCATATAGAACTTATAGGTATTTATAGTGGCTTAGAAATGGTCTGATTGGTGAATCATAAATTGAATATCAATCATAAGCATGTGATCCTCTCGAAATTAGTTTATAAATAAACTTCACAAAGAATATTGTATTATACTTTTACTCAATAGTATTACAAGTTTGGAACAACTTACAAGGTTTACATTTTTTGGGTGAAGCAACTCTTTAAATGAGGGGTACTGAGACCACTCAACAGCAGACTGTAAACTCCAGTGCTGGTGACCAACTGCTATGAACACCTTTGTATGTCTCTACCTTATTTAACATTCTTGATTCAGATTATAAGCATCAATTACAGCTATTAAAATGGGCAATTTACCTCTTCAACAGATAATTTAAAGTAAACTACACAGCACCACACACGCAATAAGAAAACCACTTTTGACAAGTTTTCCTTCACAGCTTCAAACCCGACCCACACTGTGCTGCGTTCACCTAGATCACACTTCAGTGAAGTGTAAAGTCCAAACACACAAAAACCTCTCTGCCAACGCACTTCAGTCAAACTGCAAACCACACATACCACATGAGTGCCACACATCCATGAGACTGAGCCAAAGCACACACACACACAAAACCACACTGAGAAAACCAGCAAGCTATAAACACACATACGCATATGTGAACGTGTGTGCTACTGACCGTTCTCTTCAGGTGAGCCCAGCGAAGCGCTGTCCTGTGACAGTGTGGTCCAGCTAGACTCCTCATCGCTGTGTGGAAGGTTCTGGATGCGGTTTAGTGCCCTGTCTGTCTTGGCTCCTGTGCGTGGTCTGTCTTTTTTTGTCTCTGGCGAGGAAGAGGAAGATGAAGAGCCGACAGACAGCAGGGGTGTGTCCTCGGGGCTCTGTGGTTTTCTTGGAGATGCGGGACAGGGATCCTTCTTGTTCTCCAGCAAAGGCTTAGTGATGTCGTCGTCTTGCGAATCAGGCAGCTGGTATGACAGACCATCCAGGCATGACTCCAGATAACTCTTGGTCTTAAGGTGATCAGGGGACTTCTTGTCTGAAACGATTTCGCTTTTCTCAGATAGAATGAGCAGGTCATCACAATTCTCAACGTGATCCTCCTCATTAGTGTCATCTTCAATTAACTCGTTTACTTCTTCATCGACAAGCTCGTTGTTGGCGTCAAAGTCACTGTGAACGTCGTCAACATTAGACTCGCTGTCCAGACTTAATTCCTCAATATTCCTCAACTCATCGTCGATGCTGAGCTCTGATTGGGCTGCTGTGTTTCCATCTTCATCTTCTTCCTCTTCTTCAGTAGTGTTTTTGTTGTGGTCCTGTCTCTCGGCAGCTTTGCGTAACTGATTTGCACCGTTTTTGGCCAGTTTAGGGTTGGCAGTAGTTGCTGATGAAGATGATGGTGGCATCACACCTTCGCCGAGACCCATTGCACTCTGAATACTTGTTAGAGCATACTTCTTCCGGCACTTTGGGGGCGTGGCCTGGCCCTGTTTGATAACATCACCACTGAGCAACTGATTGTGTGAGGAACGCAAACTGAGGGAAGTGGGCGGAGTTGCAGAGGGCCCGTTGCGATTGGCTGCATCCACGGAAGGGGATGAGTTGTGTGGTGAGGGCATGCAGACTGACATCATGGCTAAGGAGAGAACAGGTAAAAAAGCAGTCAAAACAACACACACACTCTGTATTCAACAAACAGAGACCAATAGTGTCCTATTATATATATAATTTAATGTTATCTCATCTTCAATGCCCATCATTTTGGCAAAAACAATTTAGAATTATACAAATAAAATAAATACAATAACAATTATTCAAACAGACAAGCAAACAAAGTTTTAATACATTAAAGATATCACTATAAAACATATAAGAAAAATCTGTTTTTTTTTTTTAAAGTGCATCTAATAATCAAGTAAAAGCAGCATTTTGGCAAAGTTTTTGTCCAGTAGCTGATTGACAGATGAGCAGCAGCCCTTGCTGTTGGTCAGGACACGTCAGGACAGATTAGGTGTAAACGGGGTCAAAGCAGCCAAGTTAAGCAATGCAGAAGCAATTTTTACATGGGGATCACCCATCATTTCCTTTATTAAATGTGAAGGAATATAAAATGCTAATAATATCAGATCGACGCCAGGACTGAATCTGCAATGACGTTCCCATTTGCTCCGTGCTGCTCCTGTGCTACCTAACTGAATTATCACATTTAAAATCAACTTAATCTGATGGGAATTGAATGTGATTACAGCTGATTTAAAACCCAGCGCTTCATTCTTTAATGCGATTGGGTGGAAAATTAAATCAGGTTTGTGCCAAAAGATGAGCTGATTTTTGCCAACACTCAAAGAGTAGATTCATGGAAACAATGCATTCATTACAAAAGAGAATTTAACCAATCATGCAGTAATTCGACATGTAACATAACGACAGACAGACACAAACAGGGCTCCATACTAAAAGAAATTGAGATTTCATTTGAATTTCAAATCTAGTTACTGTTGGCAACAGTAGGGATCTCTTTATGTGCTTCACATTAATTTAATCAAATAACACCATGTGATGAGTCAGGAATTAGTAGCCAGTACATCTCTAGTAGATTTTTTTAGTGAAGAGCCCTGCACAAAAAACCTTCTGTCACAATGGGCTGTCTGACCTTGTACAGGTTTTCTCTTTGAGCCGGAGACACTGTCAGTGTATATCTGCAACAAAAAACATAATTACAGATTTTTATTATCCATAGATATAAAACATTTTTACAATATTGCACACAAGCAAATTCAAACATTTAACATGTTTATGAATTAAATATGTATCATATACTTTTAAGTAATTATTATTCATGTAATTAAAATTATTTAAATGCTGTTAATATTCAGTAAATATTCAATAGTTTGCAAATAACAACCTGTGTAATATGTTCAAATCTATTTCCATATCCCTGATTATTAATAGCAACCTGCACAGTATGTTCGTCTATTTGTAAATCTCTGATTCTTGTTAATACAACTTGTATATTATGTTCATTGTAAATCCATCTGTAAATATTACCTAGAGTTTTCTACAAATACACTAATAACTATATACCTACATTAACCGGCCAGTTTGTTAGGTACACCTGTCCAACTGCTTGTTAACGCAAATTTCTAATCAACCAATCACATAGCAGCAACTAGGGTTGTAACGGTATGAATTTTTTACGGTATGATAATCGTCTAAAACAATACCACGGTTTGACGGTTTCGCGGTATACGGTATGTTACAAATGTTACAAAATAATAGAACAGTGAAGCAAATTTGACTTTTTCCAAATAATATATTTTCAGTTACTATAAACAACACCACTTACAATGAACAAATAAAAAAATAAGAAAATAATAAATAATGTGTCAAAGTCCAAATAAAGTCCAAATAAACATGGTGCAAATCCTCAGTAAAAAAATAGATATAAATATTTACTATACTATAAATAGTTACATAACGAAACTAAATTCAGACAAACAGCTGCACCTTCATTTGCGTCTTTTGAAAACAGCAAGAGCAGCAGTTCGTCTTTGCTGTGTCACTGTTTTGTCATGTTTCTGTGCTGCTGTGCATGCAAAAGTACTTAGTATGAGAATTATTTCATGCAAAACTTTTTTTTTTGCTTTTTATTTAGCCGCGCATAAATGTATGCCTATCTCTCATTCCGTGTTATTCAAAAAGCTCGTTTTTGGTCCACAAACAAAAGCGAAACCTATGCTTATTGGTTGTGATATAGCGAGTTTGAACCAATCTGGGCATGGAGGAGGGACAATGCATCAATGTATCGTGTCTGGTTTGTCCGGAGACACAGTGACGAGCGTTTCTTTGTCAAATCAGCGTTGTCAAATTTTGATGACGTAACCGCACTGATTCCGGAGCCTCCGGAGCCGCGAATGTTATGTGATACAGCACTGGAAAGCTGAGATTCTCTTCTTTATGCCAATCTTTGAATTGTATGAATCGGATCAGCGCATCAAAAGTTATTAAACATTTAAGAGCAATACTTATTTTTAGCAGCGGGCGGCTGTCTCGGTCTTTAAGGGTTAAAACCGTTGATATGCAATGGTATGATAATCGTGCACGTTCAAATCGTGGTAGACCGTCATACCGGTATATTGTTACAACCCTAGCAGCAACTCAATGCATTTAGGCATGTAGACATGGTCAAGACGATCTGCTGCAGTTTAAATCCAGCATCAGAATGGAGAAGAAATGTGAATTAAGTGACTTTGAACATGGCATGGTTGTTGGTGCCAGACGGGCTGGTCTGAGTATTTCAGAAACTGCTGATCTACTGGGATTTTTACGCACAACCATCTCTAGGGCTCACAGAGATGGGTCCGAAAAAGATAAAATATTCAGTGAGCGGCAGTTCTGTGGGTGCAAATGCCTTGTTGATGCCAGTTATCAGAGGAGAATGGTCAGACTGGTTCAAGCTGATTGAAAGGCAACAGTAACTCAAATAACCACTCATTACAACTGAGATTTGCAGAAGAGCATCTCTGAATGCACAACATATCCAACCTTGAGTCAGATGGGTTACAGCAGCACAGAATTTGGCAACAACAACATAAAAGCAGGGATTCATCCTGCCTTGTATCAGTGCTTTAGGCTGGTGGTGGTGTAATGGTGTGGGGATATTTTCTTGGCACACTTTGAGCCCATTAGTACCAACTGAGCATCGTGTCAACGCCACAGCCTACCTGAGTACTGCTGCTGACCATGTCCATCCCTTTATGACCACAGTGTGCCCAAGAATTCCAGCAGGATAACAAACCATGTCATAAAGCCCAAATCATCTCAGACTGGTTTCTTAAACATCACAATGAGTTCACTGTTCTCAAATGGCCTCCACAGTCACCAGATCTCAATACAATAGAGCACCTTTGGGATGTGGTGGAACAGGAGATCATGTCAATATAAACCAAAATCTGGGAAAGGGGGGTGGCGGGAGGGGTCCAACCCGGGACTAGTAAAGTGTACCTAATAAATTGACCGGTTCTTGCACTTGCACTTCTTTCTTTTCTATCTTTCATTGCTTTGCACTTGTGCATGACAATAAAGTTGAATCTAATCTAATCCAATCTAAAATTCACAATTGAAAATGTGTAGCTTTAATTACAGTTTTGTGAACACATCATATCTGTGTATCATCACAAGTGAACGCAAACCCATTCTATACGACGAGCAGTCAGCCGTACTCACCAGGGAGCTGAGGATTGTGGGTATTTCCACAGAGCCTCATGGGCCATGATGTAGAGTCAGCGCATCATCAAGGTTTCAGCGAATCAGCAGCGGGTTATCACCATGGAAGCACTCAAGACATATGCTCTGCACACAATAAAACATTATGATAAGATAGCGTATGGAAATTTCTACTTAATGGGTTTTCACTATGCCCATCCCTCAGCTAAGGTTAGTGATGTGTGAGTGTGTGTGTGACTTCTCCAGCTGTGCGTGTAAACAGCATGGGGTGAGAAAATGTATCTGGAGCGCAATGACAAAAATAACTGTCAGGGTGGAGGCACAAACAGTAACACACACTCAGTCTCCAGGGGAATCACCTAACTGGGTGCTGAATATGAATGAAATCATTTTTCACCGCGCAGATCAAAGGGCATGCATGTATAAACATTAGAACCAAAAATAACTAGGGCTGGATAATACATCCACACTAAATGTGTCAAATTTAAACCTCCTCTTAAAAGTCACAAGAATTTGAATGCACTTATGAATATGAGCAGTCTGATTAATGTTTTAATAGCAGCAGCATCTCTTATTAAATGTTAGTAAATATATAATCATTGCTCTGCATATATAAGTACACCCCTCACAAATCTATTGTTTAAATTCATATTTTAATAGGAAGCTATACAATATTATATTTGTGCATATACATTAGGTTAGTCAGTACTAAAGCCAAATCTAAAGGTTATCTAACAAAATAACTTAACGATAACAGTCCAAAAACTAGGACACCCAAAAAATCAAGAGAAACAAAAGAAGGAAAAATTTTGTTGAAATTTTGTAGGTTGTAATTTTTTTGCAATAATTTGATTGAATTTAATTGTATTATTTTTCAGTTTCTGAATATGTTTGGTGATTGTATTATTTTATTAAATATATCTGTTTAATAAATCTGTTTTGTTTAAATGCACCAAAATACATGGCCTATATTCACTGAGAAATGGAAAAAAATGGGGTGTACTCAATTATGCTGAGTGTTGTATGTGTGCATGTGTGTGTGTGTGTGTTCAAATCTATCTATCAATATCTCTAAAAAATGTTTAAAGCTTTTGACTTATAATAATAATAATAATAATGCATTTGTATTATTTTAGATGCTAAATATTAAAGTCTGTTAATGTCAAGGAAGTTCCTGAGGTTTTCAGTGAATTGATGCAATTCCAACTTAAAGGAAATATTAGTAGTTATTAGTAGAAATAAGTAGTTCATTTTGCACATCATTCCCTTGTAGCAAACTAACGGCAACAACTGCCACTATACAAACCCAGAAACTAATTGTCTTTGATTGAAAGTATTTTTTTTCCAGTGGATTAACTTGCATGCTTTAATTGTTCACCTAAAGAATAACAATGTGCACTAGCAAAATAAACATTGTAAATTTGGATTTCACATAGACTTTAAGATATAAAATCACCCAGCTGTAAAATCATGTGTTTTTTTTATTTTATTTGATCATTATGAAACCTTGTTTCCAATGCCAAATAAATAGGATAACTTGAACTGCAAGTTTACATAAGTTTAAAAAATAATAACCTCACAATTTAGAATTATAAATTCAGAATTGTGCAATGACATGTTGCAAGAAAAATCTTATAATTGTAAATTAAAAAGGCAGAAAAAACATATTAGACTGTTTCCTCAAAATAAAAAAAATTCTCATAACTTTATATATCACAGTTAAAATTTAAATATCACCAAATTGTGAGATCTAAATTGGAACTGAGTGATAAAAGTCAGAATTGTGAGATACACAGACACAATTAACCAGTGTTGGGCAGTAGCGTCAATACAAGTAGTGACGCTACTAGCTTAACTACATTCCTTGTAGCATGGAGGTAGCGTTGCTACTTTCTAAATCAAATAGGTTTTTCGGTAGCGAAGCAATTTTTTTAGTCAAGTAGCGCAGTAGCCTCCGCACAAGCTACATTTACTGATCGCGGATCAATAAGTGACGGCATTGACATTCACGGGGCCGATGTCTAACCCATGAAAGTAAATCCATATGATGGCGAGAATGACGATTTCTTCTTCTTCCTGTTTTATGGTGATCCAACAACAAACTTTTTGGTGCATTACTGCCACCTCTCGCTCTGGTAGGTGACATTGCCAACCAGATATATATAGTTTAATAGTAAAGGCTAAAGTATACCTTGGTAATTACTATTAGTTCATGATAGTTACTACTGATACTACATTATGTAGTGTAATTCATTAATGAAGAGTTGTAAATATATATAGAATACAATGCTTATTCCTATATACTTCTCTTAACTATAAATTCCTATAGTATTTTAATTGTGTAACACTTGGTTTTATTGGATTTTTTGTTTTTGCTGTTATGTACTATCATTTGTTTCTGTTTAGTACAGCATATTATTTGCAGTAAATTATTGAAATGAACAATTATGCCTCATATGTTTTTTGACAGTTTTATTGATCGCTATGATATGATTGACTTGGATTTAAGTTGCTTCGATTTAAAAATGAAAATTGCAAAAGTAGCTTAAAAAATATATTGTACCTTAGCTTGCCACATTTCCCAGAGGGTAGTTTTTAGTGTAGTTAAGCTACATTTTAAGTAGAGTAGCTGATAGCTTAGCTCGCTACATTTTTTAAGTAGCTTGCCCAACACTGCAGTTCCGATTTTTTTTTTATCAGTGGCACAAAACAAGCCTCCACAGAAAAGAGCGGGAGGGGAAAACAAAGATACAGTGTGAAAAAAAAACAGACAGATAAGCACTGCAATTTGGATTTAGTTTGCTACTTTGTGTATCTGTGCAAAACCCGGACCAGAAAACAAACAGAAGTAGAGCAGTTGAGTGTGGTGAGCTTTAATTAGAGATGTCAGACTGGTGGCAAACCTCCCTGAAATCCCTTTTTCACCATTATCCTTCTCTCGCTCGCACTCATGACCTTACAGAAAGCATGTGTGTGTGTGTGTGTGTGTATGTTTGAGTGTTTGAATTGAGCCTGACCACAGTAATTGACCCTTTGCTAAGCTCTGCACCCTTTGGTTACTGTTACCCACTGAAGGAAAGCTCCACAGATCTAGCCTTAAGAATGAAATGAGGATTACAGTGAACATTGTGGTTTTCAGTAAAATGTACTTTTAAAGTACTTGGACTTGAATGAAGTGTGACATTGCAAAGTAAATTCAAAATGAAACACTTATCACAAAGAAAAGCCTCAAAGCACTTAAGCTTCATGTTATGTTTGATTTCTGCGTACAGTTTTTATGATGTTGGTCAAATTGACCCTTATTGTATTAAATAAAACTCAAGGAAAATCTCACACTACAAAAAAAATAATAATAATAATAAATTCAGGTAAAAGTTTGACATTATAAATATGATCTTTTCCCATACAAATTATATTAAAACAGTATAAACATCTACTAAAGAAACTTGATTTACAAGTGAACAAATTTAAAATTAATAAAACCTATTATTCATATTTATACTTGGTGGTGAGAAATGCTTCATTATGATTGGCTCTTCATACAGCATGAATCTTTGCATCTAAAAAATGCTGCATCTCCTATCTCTTTGATTGGGGACACATCAATATCTCCAATAGTTTTTCCCAAGTTCAAAATTTAAATTCATATTTAGAATCACCAATTAAATGAAATGATAACTGTATCTTACACTTTGTTTCTAAATGTTTTAATCAACCACAAAAAAACAGCATTTTTTTTCATGCTGCCTAAGCTATAAATCGTCACCTTAGAATTATAAGGCCTGCACAAGAATCTGCGAGTGAGAAACCTGCAGACTTTCGCAGAGTTTTAGCCCATCATTAAGTGCATGTATTTAATTGTGTAAATGTGTGTAAATAAATATTTATTAAGTTTTTTAATTAATTTCACTAATATTATTGTGATATAATAATAATATTAAAATGTTCATGTGATTTGTTTAGAATACAGTTTGGAAAGTTTATGTTCTGTCTTTTAGTAGAGATATTATATTAAAGACTTGCTTTGTTTATCAAATAAGTGGATCATGTTGGATTTGCATTGTAAACATTAAATAAACGTTAAAAATATGGTATTTGTTGACTTCATATATTTAGTTTTTAGTTATGATACTCCTAAAATCATTCCACATAAATCCACAGATTTTAACAAAATTCTCTGCAGAAATAGCAAAAAATGCTATTAAAAATGCCTAACGATCAGACATCATCCTGACAATCAAACTATTTAAGAATTTGTAACTTGTGTGTTAGACATACTGTATCATCCTCTGAATAACAGACACTGCTCTTTTAAGGTCATTTGCTGTGTGTATTTACTGAGATTCCAGAGCACTAGCCATAACAATGAAGCTGCAGAAACTGTCATAAGAACACACATCTGAAACAAGCCCCTCCCACAGAGAATAATCATTCGATAGTGTTTGATGTTTGATGATTTGCTATACAACTATATAAGTGGCATGTTTTCTTCCTTCTATATACTGTATATACTATAGTCTGACATAATAAATTATTCCTTACATACTGATTGATTAATTTACACATTTTTTGATGTAAAAATGTTTTTGAATGTTTTACAATGGATGGGAAAATGATGTCTGTTTCTTACACAAAGCCATAGAATGGCTTCAGAAGACTAAAGCACAGCACATGAGTCATGTTGACTACTTTAATGGTACTTTTATAGAGCCTTTTTGTCTTTTTAGAGGATGGCAGTATAAATCACCACCACTCTCCTTGTTCTGCAAACAGCAGCCCTGTTATTCTGCTTAAGATTTGTGCTAAAGAATAAAGCAATGATTTAAATCTGATGCTGATGACAACATTTTTACTGTGTGTCAAATATTCCTTTCAAAACAGTAATGCAATTGACATTCTATAAAATAAAGCTTTCAAGGCTCTGTTGATTGGGAAAAAAAATGTTCTGGCTATTGTTCCCTGGAATGTGTCTTACGAAATGCAATTGCTGCAACTGAAACTTCAGAGAGGACAGACTCCACAGCTGAAGCCGGATTATTGCACACTAAACAACAGAATGAAATACAGCTTCATAGCTCGGTTCTTTTCCACTTCTAACTTCACTTAAAGAAATGAATTCTGCAGCACTTAAAAGAGACAGAGCTCGGCGTCTGGATGCAACAGCTATAATCATAACACACACCCTTAAATCCACTGGAGTCTTTACAAGGATTGAAAAAAAAAGCAGGAATGTGAGGGAAAGCTAAAGAATTCTTGGCATGTCATTTTAAGAAGGCTTTAACTACCCATTTGGGAAAAAAACACAATCACACCCGTCTCACTTATACACACTTAAACATACCTACGTATCTGCAGGTAGAGGTATTTGTCACAGATGAGGTTTCCACCTGTAAAACAGAGAAAAAAATACATTTGTGAATTCATAGTGTCACAATAAATAACAATATTACACAGAAATTTTAGCATGCTAAATAAAGCGCAGTTACTGACGGGCAGTTTCAGCAGCTGAAAATAAAATGTTAAACAAACCACACAGAACACAAGTAAATATGACCTGCTGAATAATCCAACTGTGCAAATCAAAAACAGAGAGCGCGGTTCTGTAAAGCACATCCCGCTGAGGGTGAAAGAAAGCAAGACAGACACTTGCGCTCACATACAGGCGGACTGATTCGATTAAAGGACGTTTATTTAGTTGCAGAAAAATGCAACGCTGCAGTTAACTGCTGCTCAAAACTGGACAGATCTCGGCCCTGCCATTAAAGTGCATCCAATCAGTGTCGAGGAAGAAAAAAAACAAACATAGCATGCACATAAACATACACGCATAAACACACAGATGAATGCTGGGAAAGAGGCAGGTCGAGATCGTATTTCAGAGAGGAAAAATCCAAGGCCTTATATCAAAGACTCGCTTTCCAGCAGACTGCACCGAGAAAACAGCTGCCAAATGACAGAGAAGAAAAGAGGGAGGAAAAGACAGAGAGAGAGAGAGAGAGAGAGAGAGAGAGAGAGAGAGAGAGAGAGAGAGAGAGAGAGAGATTGAGTGCAAAGGCAACAGAGAGGAAAAGTAGAAGGAAAAAAAGCCATAGCGCTAAGGGTTTCCATCAACATCTGTATAAACAATCTACGCGAAGCTTTCAGACACGTTTATTAGTTGGTTGCCAGATTATACTTTCTTCAATGAGCATTATCCACGCAGCCTGATTAACCCATGATAAAGATACAATAAAAGTTTTTCAGAATAGAATTTAACAAACATAACATCCTAAATTATAGAAGATGAGGATGATCCATTGTGACAAAACTGTAGAATACAATATGCACTCAGCGAAAAATACAACAGTCAACATGGACACTCTAATGAGGGAAGCGAAGCCTTCTAGTAAAGCAGCCAGTCTATGATGATTCTCCAGGGGCAGGACTCAGTCCAGATGTGTGTCCTGTACGACAGTTTGTTCAGCTTCACTGATATAAACCCTCCGTGATCAGCAAACATGCTGGAATCTCAGAAAATACTTGCCTCACAGACATGAGACACATACATAAAGCTTGAAATATCTACTTTTAAATAAACAAATTGCACTTGAAAACAAATAAACTAATTTTGTAGCAAAAAAAATGTGAGGTACAGGCCATTGAAGCACAAACTTGTAAACAACGAGGTAGCTCTCATTTTGAAAGGAAATTTGTGGTCAGGATTAAGTTATGTGAAGTTTATTTATAAACTAATTTCGAGAGGATCACATGCTTATGATTGCTTGCTGCTCATCCCGTATTATGCAATTTATGATTTATCAATCTGACTATTCCTGAGCCACTGTAAACACCCTAAGTTCCATGTAACAGCCATCTTCGTTTTGAAGAATCCCCCTTCCACCCTCCTTTCCTAGATGGGTGGCACGATGGCCCAGTAGATAGAACTGATGCCTCACAGCAAGAACGTCACTGGTTCCTCCCACCGTATAAAAACATACAACTTAAGTTAATTGACTAATCCAAATCAGCACTATAGACATGATTTAAGTAAGTAGTTATCTATTAAGAGCAATCACTATCTGTTCATCAGCAACTACAGCAGGGGAGTTCTCGAGTTCTACTTGAGCTCCAACTCCCCTCTCGCCTGAGGGAGGAAGCCCCAGGCTCGAGGATTTTATGAGCTCAGGGCTCTCTCCCGAGACAGCATGCCAAACAAGCTTTTTAATCAATTAACGATAATATGAAACAACGATAATCAATGAACGACTTATATGAAAGAAAGGGACTTTGATTGTGATGCTAACTACTTCGAAATAATATCTACACATCTACACAAATTAAACAATCTACACACAAAAATTTACAAAAACATTAGAAGCAAATGCTTAGAAATGTCCAAAATGGATTTGCACTCAAGTTAAATTTCGTTAAAATAACACAAACAGTTTATTTTGCTCAGAGGAGACAGTGCATTGATATTACTTTATGCCCATTTTGATTTCTAAAAATGTTTGTACAAAAGACTAACAGCCATAGTCAAGATGTTAATACATAATGAAGTTATTTCAGTTTGATTTTCAACTAACTCCACTGTACTGTCAAATGAAAATTGGAATATAAAGCTTGAGCTACATGAGATACTTTTGTGTTTTTTCAGATTTTCTTTATTTAAAATGCTTTATGCTCAGAAAAAAAGAAGGCCTTTTTAAAAAATCTTTCTTCTGTTGTCTGAAAAAGAAGGATATGTGGCTTTGAACAACACCAAATGAGTCAACTGCCAGCAACAGACACCAAATGGGGACTTTTGCTTAAATCCGCTACTTATTGAAGAAGTCCCCAGTAATCCCAAATGTGTTTTCACATGCAAGCTTCAGAACAGATTTGAACAAAAGAACTGTGCCAACTTTTGTCCTAAAAAGACAAAAATTTCTGAATCAAAATCTCAAACATTTCTCATCAAAGTCTCTCAAGTATAAGTTATGGAAGACATATTCTTTTCACAACTTTCAATATAAAGTCTCATTCACTAACATTATTAAATGCTTTGTGTGATAAAATTAAATCGACAGATACAACATCAACATATGTGGCAGAACAATTGTTTTGGGTAATTTTAAAATACTTAACTAATGTTAAAACCCAAAACAGTTTACATCTTCTGTCAAACATAAAAGAAAAATGGAAAATGGTGCACATCGACTTAGTAGGACAAAAATGTTTTGTCCATCATTTTCCAACATTGTTCTAAATATGTTCCTTTGTGTTCAACAGAAGAAGTGTTTGGAACAAAATGGAAGGTGAATAAATGTTGACAATAGAAAATTTTAGTGTGGACTATACCTTTAACAACTGGAACCTTGCCTTAAAGTGTTACCTGTACTCTCTATAAATCTACATCAACAATTTCCTCATTTCTATTTCTAGAAGACACATCTGTGGCAAAGTTGAGGAATTAAACTATAACTGAAGTCCCATGAGACCCCACATGTTCTTCTGGACTACTGCAAACAATCGTTCAGGAACTATTTTTGATGACTGTGTACTGCCACAGTTTATAAATTAAACAAATTCTAATGACTATAAGTAACACTTGTATAGAAAAAACTTTCATAAATGCTGTCCCCAAAAGTAGCTGGGTCGGATTAAATGCATGCACAGCACTTCAATAGTTCATATCTGCTGTGTTGCTGCTGATCAGAAAATGCTGACAGGCATCAACTGAAGGCTGTTTCTTCTGATGCAGTCTGTTCTGATACTGCTCATATAAAGAGTGACAAGTACGCATAGATTATATCATTCCCTAATAACCAGCATGAGATGAAACATGATGAAGCATCATAAATCAATGCTGTCAAGCCGGACAAATGCACAGCTAAAAGTTACGTAAGGTTCAGATGAGGAATATTGATAGACTGACGCTGCTATGACCAATGTGGCCGGAATTTTGTTTACATAATCTATTCCTGCAATTTGAGAAGAGAAGTATTCACCTAAAATAATAAATCCATTTTAGTGATTAAAAAATGAGTTTTAGTCATTTTAAAAACATTACAATTGATTGAAAATATGATCTTGGTGAATTTGACAACAATTTCTTAAAAGTTAAACAGAAATACTATTTACTGAAAAAGCTCATTTATTATTATTTAACAAAAAATGTATGTTATGAATTAAAAAATTAAAAATTACATTATAAATTATATTTAATTAATAATTAATATTATACAATCATTCCTAAAGGTAGTGTATTATTAATATTTGTATTAGTAGTAGTGTCATATTTCAGTTATAAAGATGAACTAAAGTGTTATTTTAATTGATCGTTGTAAAGACACTTGTGTGTACACAAAGACTATAAAATATACAAGACGTGTGATTCGTATAGTTTTGAATGGATGTAACAGTCAATATGGCAAATGAAGCCCCACCTACTAGTACAAGAGCCAATCAGTGATCGCTATAGACTGACATTTCATTTTTTGTGTGCTCTTACGACAGATTGTGTGGTCAACAAATGCACTGGAATCTTAGCAAGTACTTGCTTCACAGACATAAGAAATATACCCACATAAAGTTTGAAATCACTACTTTTAAACACACCAATTACACTTGATAACAAAAGCTTTTTGGTTTTGTAATCTGTATCAAATGAACGTGAGGTACAGTCCTGTCAAACGCACATCACATGACAGCAACTACTCGAACACCCAAAAACTTGTAAATAAAGAGTCGCTGTCATTTCTGGAGGAGATTCGCCATCAAGAAAAAGTTGTGAATTACTTCTGAAGAGCAGCGTGATCAGATGATCATTATCCAGAGGATGATAATGTGTAGAATGGCCATAAATTAGGTTGGTGTTGTGATCTCGTTACTTTTGAGTGTGCATGAGCAGTAGCTTGGGCAACCTGAAAAAATGCCGATATTGTTTGATTCAAACATTTAGGAACTAAACTTATGAGACAGATGTTGTTTAATTGTATTGGTGATTCCAAGTTTGTAACATAATCATAAGTGTAACGAAGTGGCTGACACAGAGGGATCCATTTGCAGTATTTTTATTAAGTGTGGTTTATTCATAAACTAATTTCGAGAGGATCACGTGCTTATAATCAACACGGCTGGCTCCTTGTTAGCTCCGTAATCAGCCCTATTAGATGATTTCGGAAGCATTATAAATAACCTGAGTTTTTCACTCCAGTTATTTTCGTCTTAAAGCTTCCCCCCCTTTCCACCCCTACATCCTCCCACTTTTTCTGATCGGGCGACACGGTGGCCCAGTGGCAAGCACTGTTGCCTCACAGCAAGAACACCGCCAGTCCAACCCATCGGGCCGGTTGGTGTTTCTGTGTGGAGTTTGCATGTTCTCCCCACGTTCGCGTGGGTTTTCCCCGGGTTCCCCGGTTTCCTC